AGTGACCAGAGTTGTATTGTGGGCAGAACCAGGGGTAGCACAGAATACTTCCAAGCTCCCCAGACCTGGTTTGAAACAAGCTAGTGGGGCTAGGAAGGTGGCTCAGTGGTAGAACGCTTGCCTTGCATGCATGAGGCCCTGGGTTCGATTCCTCAGCACCACATAAACAAAAAGAATAAAAGCCGGAAGTGACGTTGTGGCTCAAGTGGTGGAGCGCTAGCCTTGAGCTGAAGAGCTGAGGGACAGCGCCCAGGCCCAGAGTTCAGGCCCCACGACCGGACCCAAAAAAAAAAAAAAAAAGAAACAAGCTAGTGATGACCCTGCATTCCATGGGGCCAATGTAACCATGCCATATTGTATTCTGATTCACACCCAGGTCAGCTGTAATGCTTAGCTTCTTCCACCAAGAAACTCCAATTAGGAGCAAAGTGCTCTAGTTCTTTTTAACAAGAGAATTTAAACCTTTCCCTGGTTGCTTTATACTAACACGAGAGCGGAGAAACTGCTTTCCAAAATTAGGATTCCAGTGGTAAGAAACTTCATGTCTGCTAGATTCAGACATGCATTGGAATCACCAGTATAAACACAGTTATCATTCAGATGCTCCTTCAGCTCATGGGGGAGTTTTGTCTTCTGGATCACCAAAGCACCAGCCACAAAGCCCATGTGCCACTGTTTTCTGCCTTCTGAGCCAAGCCACTTACCCTTAAAGGACATCAGCATGCTGGGGTGTCCTGAATAGTGATGGTGATATACAACTATTACTTTAAAAAAAAATTAATTATAAATTGCATAGTTTGGGGCTGGGAAGATTGCTCAGTGGTAGAGTGCTTGCCTTGCATGCTTGATGCCCTGGGTTCGATTCCTTAGCAACACATAAGCAAAAAGAAAAAAGCCGGAAGTAGCACTGGGGCTCAAGTGGTAGAGTGCTAGCCTTGAGCTGAAGAGCTGAGGGACAGCGCCCAGGCCCAGAGTTCAGGCCCTACGACCGGACAAAAAAATAAATAAATAAATAGCATAGTTTTGCCAGGCATTGGTGGCGCACGCCTATCATCCTAGCTACTCAGAAAGTTGAGATTGGAGGATCACAGTTCAAAGCCAGCCTGGGCAGGAAAGTCCATGAGACTCAACTCCAATAAATAGAAAACTGGAAATGGAGCTGGGGCTCATGCAGTAGAGTACTTTCCTTGAGCTGAAGAGTGCAGGGGCATTGCCCCAGCCTGATGTTCAAGCCCCATGACTGACAAAAAAAATAAATTGCATAGTTTTGTTCTCTATACAACATAGAATGATCAAACCAAACAAATTAACACACTCAGCACTTTAAATACTTAATTTTTTTTGTTGTTGACAGTGATACCAGAGTTTTAGGACATTGTACAAAGATTACAAGGTAAAGTACTTTAATCTTTTCTCAAATCTTTATCTTTTTGTTTTTGGAGACTTATCTCATTGGGGCTTGCATGTTATAAACATGCATTGAATTATCATAATTGTAAGGTGTATTAAATAGCTAGGTTTCATTAGGTAGCTGATGAAGATAGCATACACTATTCAGGCAGGAAAAGTTTATTGAACTGCCGTCCCCACCATGCATGGTGGAGAGGGCTGGTTGAAAAAGGGAGATCCAGGGGCGGCGAGTCGGACACCATGGCTCGAGCCGCGACGGCAGCGGCGGCGGCGGCCGGAGGCGGCGGCGCCACCTCCTCCTGCTGCTCGCCCCGGCGGTGATCGGAGCGAGCGGCCGCGGTTCCCCCCCCGCCCCACCCCTCGATGAGACTGCTGGCATCCTGGCTGTGCCTGAGCCTGGCGTTGGTGTGGCTGGCGCGGAGGATGTGGACGCTGCGGAGCCCGCTCAGCCGCTCCCTCTACGTGAACATGACGAGCGGCCCCGGCGGGCCGGCGGCGGTGGGCGGCCGGAAGGAGACGCACCAGTGGTATGTGTGTAACAGAGAGAAGTTATGCGAGTCACTTCAGGCCGTCTTTGTTCAGAGTTACCTCGATCAAGGGACACAGATCTTCCTAAACAACAGCATTGAGAAATCCGGCTGGCTGTTCATCCAGTTATATCACTCTTTTGTGTCATCTGTTTTTAGCCTGTTTATGTCTAGAACGTCTATCAATGGGTTGCTAGGAAGAGGCTCAATGTTTGTGTTTTCACCAGATCAGTTCCAGAGACTACTTAAAATTAATCCGGATTGGAAAACCCACAGACTGCTTGACTTAGGTGCTGGTGATGGAGAAGTCACAAAAATAATGAGTCCTCATTTTGAAGAAATCTATGCCACCGAGCTTTCAGAAACCATGATCTGGCAGCTGCAGAAGAAGAAGTACAGAGTGCTTGGTATAAATGAATGGCAGAATACAGGCTTCCAGTATGACGTCATCAGCTGCTTGAATTTGCTGGACCGCTGCGATCAGCCCCTGACTCTGTTAAAAGATATCCGAAGTGTCTTGGAGCCAACTAGAGGCAGGGTCATCCTAGCTCTGGTTCTGCCCTTTCATCCTTACGTGGAGAACGGTGGCAAGTGGGAGAAGCCATCAGAAATTTTGGAAATCAAGGGACAGAATTGGGAAGAACAAGTGAACAGCTTGCCAGAGGTGTTCAGAAAAGCTGGCTTTGTCATCGAAGCGTTCACCAGACTGCCCTACCTGTGCGAGGGCGACATGTACAATGACTACTACGTCCTGGACGACGCCGTCTTCGTCCTGAAGCCCGTGTGACCCCGCGGGCGCCCAGCCCTGCAGTGTGCACGCCCAGAACCTGCCCTCCGGAAGAGGGGCTGCGCGCAACCGGAAGCCCCCGGAGGACCGTCGGTGCTGCCGTTCTCAATACCATGTAGGAATTTTAAAAGCCAAAATACTAATTATTTCTTTGTAGTGTGTAAAAGAAACGTTTTTTTTTTAAAAAACAAAACCAACAAAACTCAACTCTTTGTGGATTTTTATCAGCTCTCTACTCAACTAGGGCCACCATCCAATGCAGGCCACACTCCAATGATGATGGAAAATATTTTTTTATACGGAATTGCTGTAGGGACTCATTCCCAGCAGAAGCAATAGTCACTACTTCATGGAGCCAATAGATGGATCGTTTTTAATAAAAGGAAGACTGGCAATAAAGCTGTCCATTCAGTTCCAAATGCTGGTTATAAGGTATAGCCACTGAGAATAACTCTTTCATGTTTAGAAACTCTTTCTGTTATTATTCAAGAAAATGTTTTTAATCATGCTAATAAACTTTTTTGGAGACGAAAAAAAAAAAAAAAAAAAAAAAAAAAAAAAAAAAAAAAAGGGAGATCCACCCCTAGGTCAGGACTTATCTAGGCCAGGGACAGGAAGAGGTGTGGCCACACTGGATCTGGATGTGACCTCAGGGCCTGGGACCAGCCAATGTCAGATGGAATGCCAGGGGCCGCCCAGGATGTAACCTAGCAGGAGGGGGAAGTGACTGCTTCCAAGTGTGCCAGTTTCCTAGGTAACAGATACTGGGTGGAAGCTTAGCCAAGAGGTAGGGAGCTGTCTGCACAGTGCCTGCATGGCTTGGGGCAGATCTTACAATAATGTCCTCCATGAATATGAAAATATGTCTCAATGAAAATGATTGAGCCGGGCACCAGTGGCTCACACCTATAATCCTAGCTACTCAGGAGGCTGAGATCTGAGGAAGGAGATCTGAAGCCACCCTGGGCTGGAAAGTCCTTGAGACTCTTATCTCCAATTAATCACAGAAAAAGCTGGAAGTGGGAAATGGACTTATGGCTCAAGTGGTATGGCAGTAGCCCAAGCCCACAGTTTGAGCCCCAGAACCAGCAAAACTTTTAAAAAGTAATAAAAGTAAAATAAAATGTGAAGCCAGGCCCTGGTGGTGCATGTCTGTAATTCTAGCTACTCAGGAGGCTGAGATCTGAGATCCAGGTGTGAAGCCAGCTTGGGGGAGGAGAGTCTGTGAGACTCCTTATCTCTAATAAATTACTCAGAAAAAACTGGTAATGCTGTTGTCTCAAGTGGTACAAGCACTAGCCTTGAGCAAAGCAAGCTCAGGGACAGCTCAGGCCCTGAGTTCAAGACCCTGGACTGGCACCCAAGAAAACAAAACTGGACATGCTAAAACTGCCACAATAATCAGTATTTGTGCTTGGAGGGAGATACTTTTGTGGATCCTACTTCTCCTTGAAACATCAGTTATTTAGCACAATTCAAAGAATAATCTACCAGCTGATCATTCGTTTCTTCAATTTTGTGGAAAACATAAATGATTGAGAAATGAGGAACCAAAATATCTACCCGTTTCCAGCGGTTTAGTCGGGTGCCCTAGAGGTTCCTACAACAGATCACACAGTCAAGAGGTCTTGGACTTTTTGGTACTTGTTCTTTTTGGTAACGTTGAAGGATAAAGGATAGCGTCCTGGTTCCAGGAACTCGGTGGCGGCGGATCCACACCGGTGCGGGCGCCCACGTCCCCGGGCTTCCTTTGCTCAAGGCTAGTGCTCTACCACAGCACTACTCCGTTTTTGTTTCTGAGTCATTTACCGGAGGTAAGAGGGTCTCTCAGACTTTCCTCCCCAGGCTGGCTTCACACCTGGATCCTCAGATCCCAGCCTCCCTCCTGAGTAGCTAGGATTGGAGGCGTGAGCCGCCAGGGCCTGGCCTCACCGTCTTGATTGCTTGATTTTAAGCTCTGCTGGTCCTGGGGCTCCGGCCGCGGCTTGCTGGGGCACTGTCCCAGGCAGGCGCCGCGGCTATGTGACCGCAGCATCTCCCCTGAACCTGTGCTGTGGTAAATGCCACAGGAAACCCACCTCACCAGCCGTCCTCCCCCACACTGGGTGACAAGTCGCCGCGACGGCGGGGCTCCCACCTGGCCTTAAAGCGGGCTTGCATGGAACCGCCATTTCTCAACGAGCGGTGGGGGACCCACCAGCGGCCTTTACCACTTGAAGACTACACAGTGCCAGGCGGCAACTCGCGCGAGACTGAGGTAGTACTCTCGCGAGAAGCCTGGCAGGCGACAGTGATGGCGGCGGCGGGAACCGGACCCGGCCCAGGATCGGGTACCGGGCCGGGCCCAGGCGCAGCGGCAAATGCAAACACAACAGAAGAGGGAGAAACGAAGCCAGTGGCAGCGGCGGCAACCGCTCCGGCTGGAGAGGGACCCTCGGCGGCGCCCGCGACGGAGCCCAGCTCGGGAGAGGCGGAGAGCGGGTAAGCCGTCCCGCTGCCGGGGAGAATCCCCCGAGGGAGGCCCGCCTCCCCCACGGCGGAACGCCGCGGCTCTCGGGGCTCTCCCGCCCTTCTCGGAGCCTAGGCCTGGGCCAACGGCTCGCTCGCCCTGCCCCCTCGGGGCCGTAGCCCCGCCCGCCGCCGGCCCCGCCCCTCTGGGGTGACCCAGGCCACGCCCCCTTCCGCACCTTGGGCGGCCGGAGGTGAGCGTGACCGGCTGCGGGCCGCGTCTCCGGCCCTGGCTTTTGCGCCCACGTTGAAGGTGGGTGGCTCCCTGTGCTAGCAGGACCTTCTTAAATACCCCAGCGGAGAGACCACTCCACAGTGCCAGGCTGGACAGTGACAGTCCCGCTGATAGACGCCGAAGGGGCGAGCCGCAGCTGCGGATCTGCAAGGACCGGCTACAACCCGTGTAGACGTGTCCCTAAGAACCCAGTTAACTTCCCCGCGTCTGTCCCGACTGTGTTACCGCAGATGTTCTGACGAAAACCCTGGGCCTCCAGTCCAGAACCGGCATAGCTGAAAACGCTGTGTGCTCTTGAAGTTCACCTGGGTTGGAGTGATAATCTTTGGGAATTTAGGCATGGTGAGATCTCTTTCTTGAAGATTCTTAAGTGCTTTCGTTACAGGGATGCAAACTCGGTTGATGTAAGTGGTGGTGTGGAGACAGAATCTTCTAATGGAAAAGATACACTAGTAAGTATTTCGTTTTGTATGTTCAAGGCAATCTAGGGGGGTTTTTTTGGTGTTTTTGTTTTGTTTTGGGTTTTTTTGTTGGTCATGGGGCTTGAACTGTGGGCCTGAGCGCTGTCCCTCAGCTCTTCAGATCAAGGCTAGCACTCTACAACTTGAGCCACAGCACCACTTCCAGCTTTCTGGTGGTTTATTGGAAATAGGAGTCTCACGATCTTTCCTGCCCAGGCTGGCTTTGAACCGCCATCCTCAGATCTCAGCCTCCTGAGTAGCTATGATTACAGGCGTGAGCCACCAGCGATCGGCAGTTTGTTTTTTTGTTTTTTTTTTAATTAAGTGAACTATAATCACATCAATTCATTTGATTCTCCAATTGCTCTCTGGCTACAGGAAGGTGCTGGGGATACTTCAGAGGCGATGGATACTCAGGCTGGCTCCGTTGATGAAGAGAATGGCCGACAGTTGGGAGAGGTAGAATTGCAGTGTGGGATATGTACAAAATGGTTCACAGCTGACACCTTTGGCATTGATACCTCGTGAGTACATTTCCTGGTCTTGAAAGAATTGCTTTATAAAATCAGTTTCAACGTGTCCAGAAATTCAGTACTAGACAACATAAATACCTAGTTATTTCCTTCCTTCTAAGCCTTCATCAATAAATAGGGTGTTGTACAAGGAATTGTTTTTAGTCCTGAGGGAACAGCCCTAATAGGTACAATGATGGGTATTGTCCCTATTTTTTTTGTTTTGTTTTTTTTGGGTCCGGCCGTGGGGCCAGAACTCTGGGCTTGGCGCTGTCCCTCAGCTCTTCAGCTCAAGGGTAGCGCTCTACCACTGGAGCCACAGCGCCACTTCCGGCTTTTTTCTTTTTGCTTATGTGGTGCTGAGGAATCGAACCCAGGGCCTCGAGCATGCAAGGCAAGCGCTCTACCTCTGAGCCACCTTCCCAGCCCTATTGTCCCTATTTTTAAGCTTACAGCGGTATAGTAAGACTATACAGTTAGAGCATTATCTAAACAAATTTGAAACAGTATCATTTAAGTTTTACATGAGGTATTTGGAGTTAACTCAGTGGTAGAGTTCTTGCCACTGTGTTCAGAACCCTGTTTTCCATCCCTAGCACCTCTAAGGAAAATTTCAAATTAAAAAAAAAATTGGGAAGAAAAAACTTGAGAGAGCAAGGGAAGGGGTGACGTCCAAAAAGAAATGTACTCCACCTGACTTCTGTAACTGCAACCCTTCTGTACTTCACCTTTTTTTGGGGGGGGGGTCCGGTCGTGGGGCCTGAACTCTGGGCCTGAGTGCTGTCCCTCAGCTCTTCAGCTCAAGGCTAGCGCTCTACCACTTGAGCCACAGCGCCACTTCTGGCTTTTTTTTTCTGCTTATGTGGTGCTGAGGAATTGAACCCAGGGCCTCATGCATGCAAGGCAAGCACTCTACCATGAGCCACCTTCCCAGCCCTCTGTGAGACTTTTATCTCAACTAATCACCAAAAAATAGAAGCTGGGAGAGAAGCTGTGATTCAAGTTTGTAAAGTGCCAGCCTTTATTAAAAATACTAAGGGTCAGTGCCCTGGCCTTGAGTTCAAACCCCAGTACAGGCACCAAAAAAAAAAAAGAAAGAAAGAAAAAAGAAAAAAAGATGATAGCTCTTCATATCTAAGTATATCCTTTTTCTCCCCCTTTGTCCTCCTTCCCATTGATTCTAACTTGCTCCTTTAGGTATCTTGTACTCTTTTCTCTTATTCTAAACATGAATATCTGGTGTATTAGTCATATGATTTAGAATGAAAGTTTTCTTAGTCATGGAATTTGATCTAGAGCTAGCTCAGTAGCATTATTAACACATTGTCATAATGGGAATAATTGTACAGCTAATGCCTGTAATTTTTTTATTTGGTATTGTGGTAACAAATTTAAATGTGACTTAAGACTGAATTATTCTGAAATTAATCTCTGACACCAAGTTTGTGATGAAATAAATATCTTCCTGTAATATGTTGTGTGCTTAAAAGTTAAAATTTTAAGCCAGGAGCCGGTGGCTTACGCCTGTAATTCTAGCTACTCAGGAGGCCCAGATCAGAGAATCACAGTTCAAAGCCAGCCCGGGCAGGAAAGTCTGTGAGACTCTTATCTCCAATAAACCACCAGAAAACCAGAAGTGGCGCTGTGGCTCAAGTGGTAGAGTGCTTGCCTTGAGCTGAAGAGCACGGGGACAGTGCCCAAGCCCAGAGTTCAAGCCCCACGACTGACAAAAAAAAAAAAAAAAAGTTAAAATTTTAAGTGGATTTTAGAAATGTTAGTGTACTAATTAACATGTGACTGGTGACCTAGAATATCTAATTAAAATAAGAAAGAAAAATAGTAGGGATCTGGAAAAAGATTTTTATAGAAGCATCTAAAAAGGTTTGCAAGACACTGGTCTGAGAAGTCTGGTTAACTAGGCCCCAAATTGGCCACTTTGGATAAACCAAGTAATGAGGAGCCATCCAAGAAAGAATCAAATCACAGTCCAATGTTTTCATACCTTTGGAGAGACCAATTCGTACCTGAATTTGAAAAAGGATGCTCTGAACACCTGATTGTGTTTGAATTAAAATATGAGACTTTGCCTACATTAAATGAGTGTATCATAACAGCCTTCTTAGCTGAAGGACTTCTAGAAAGTAGAGAAAGGAATTGTTTATATATTACTGGGGTGAGAGGGGGTGTCACACTCCTCCTTGAACTTACTAGGCAAGTGCTCTACCACTTGAGCCAGTCTGCTAGCCTTTTTGCAGCCTTTGTTTGTTTATTGCTGGTTCTGGGGCTTGAACTCAGTCAGGGTAAGGATGCTTTCCCTGAGCATCTACCACTTGAACCACAGCTCAGCTTCTGGCTTTTTTGGGGGTTCACTAGAGATGAGAATTATGGGCTTTTATGTTTGGGTTGGCTTCAGTTGTAATCCTCGGATCTCAGCCTCTTGAATACGATTACAAATGTAAGCCACTGGTGCCCAGTATGTTGGTTCTTTTTTGAGATAGGATCACATTTTCATCACTATGCCATCCTGGAATGTGATCCTCCATTTTGTGTTTCCCTTTGTTGTTGGAATGACATGCATGTGCCACCAAGTCTAACCAGTGCTTGAGAAGTCTCATGAACTTTTTTTTTTTGCCCAGGCTGGTCTCCAACCATGGCCTTCCAGATCTCTACCTCCTACATAGCTGGAACAGCAGGCTTGAGCCATCTTACCCAGCTAGTTCTTAAGAATCTTTCGTTCTTTCCTTTTCTTTCTTCTCTCTCTCCTTCCTTCCTTCCTTCTCTTTTTCTTTCTTTCCTTCCTTTCCTTCTTTCTTTCCCTCCTTTCCTTCCCTTCCTTCCTTCTTTTTCTCCTTCCTTCTCTTTCCCTCCCTCCTTCCCTCCCTCCCTCCCTCCTTTCTTCCTTCCTTTCTTTCTTTCTTTCTTTCTTTCTTTCTTTCTTTCTTTCTTTCTTTCTTTCTTTCTTTCTTTCTTTCTTTCTTTCTTTCTTTCTCTCTCTCTCTCCTTCCCTCCCTTCTTTCCTTCCTTCCTTCCTTCCTCTCTTTCTCTCCCTCCCTCCTTCTCTCTCTTTCCTTTCTTTCTTTCTCTCTTTCTTCCTCTTGAGATTAGTTTCATACTTGCTTCCCTTCCTTGCTCAGCTGGTGATCTACTACTTAAGACAAGACTCTAGCTTTTTTCTGGTTATTTTGGAGGTAGTGTCTCTCAGACTTTTCTGTATAGTTAGGATTACAGGCATGAGCCACTCAGTAAGAACATCGTAATCATTCCTTTCAATTTTTGTTCTCTGCCCATCTAATTGGTCACTAAACTTTTTCTTCTTGTCTTCTCTACAAAAAGATGTTTTCCATTTTTATTAATCACTGTAGCTCAGGCCTTATAAAATCTTCTGCTGAGACTACTACAAAAACCTTATATTCTTGGGTGTGAGGTATGGCAGTAGACTGCTGGGCAAGCTCAAAGCTTTGTTCTGGGGGGAAAAAAACCTTATATATTCATGTTTTTCTAATCTCTTCTCCCTTCAGATCATCACTGAATTTATCACTTTTATCATCTCACTTCCCCTTCAAGGAGTTCCATTACACAGAAAAAAATCCAATTCTGCCTAGTGTGTAAGGCTTTGTACTTCCTACCTTTCAAACTTTATTTATTTATTTATTCGAGATAGAATCTGGCAGTGTTGCCTAGACTAGTCTTAACTTTGTGGGCCCAAGTGATCCTCCCAAAGTAGCTGAGACCAGAAGTGTACATTATGATCGTTTATTCATTTATTTTTAAAAGTATAATCTCTTACAAATCTTGTCCTAGACAGATTTTTTTTTTTGCCAGTCCTGTTGCTTGAACTCAGGGCCTGGGCACTATCTCTTCTTTTGCCCAAGTCTAGCCCTCTGTCACTTGAGCCAGAGCTTTACTTCAGTCTTTTCTGTTTATATGGTACTAAGGAATCAAACCCAGGGCTTCATGCACGGTAGGTAAGCACTCTACCACTAAGCCACATTCCAGCCCAAGACAGAAATTTTATACTTGATTTTGATTTCTAGTCTTTATATACAGGGCGCCTGTTTTGGAAACCCACTTACTCCCTAAATTCAGTTTATAACTTGTCCTGATAAATCTTTCCTAACTTTTTTTTTTTGTTGGTCGTGGGGCTTGAACTCTGGGCCTGTGCGCTGTCCCTCAGCTCTTCAGGTCAAGGAGAGCGCTCTACCACTTGAGCTACAGCGCCACTTCCGGTTTTCTGGTCGTTTATTGGAGATAGGAGTCTCACAGTCTCTCCTGCCCGGGCTGGCTTTGAACCGAGATCCTCAGATCTCAGCCTCCTGAGTAGCTAGGATTACAGGCGTGAGCCACCAGCGCCCGGCTCTTTCCTAACTCTTAAACCTAAGTTTACTACTAGGGTCCTGAACTGTAAGGACTAATTATCATCTGTAGACTTCATTTGCTAACAGCAAGTAATGTTTTGTGACTAGTATTATCGTCTCCAATAATTTTTTGTTTTGTTTTTTGGTTGGTCATGGGGCTTGAACTCTGGACCTGGGCACTGTCCCTGGGCTCTTCAGCTCAAGGCAAGTACTGCTTGAGCCACAGCACCACTTCTGGTTTTCAGGTGGTTAATTGGAGATAAGAGTCTCATGGATTTTCTTGCCCGGGCTGGCTTTGAACCACAATCCTCAGTTCTTAGCCTCCTGAGTAGCTTGGATTACAGGCGTGAGTCACTGGCGCCCAGCTTCAATAATTTTTTGTGTCCATGTGTGTTCTGATCCTAGGGCTTGAACTCAGAGGCTATGGGTTGTCCCTACTTATGTGCTCATGGCTATTCCTCTACCACGTGAGCCACAACCCCACGTCCAGCATTTTTGGTGCTTAATTGAAGATAAGAGTCTCACAGACTTTCCTGCCCTGCTGGCTTTAAACCATGATTCTCAGCTCTCAGCTTGTTGAGTAGCTAGGATTATAGGTGTAAGCTACCAGCACACCTGACTTAAACAAATATTACATTTTAAAATTCATATTGTCATACATTCTATCTGCTTTTCCTGATGTGATCAACACTTCCTAGACTACTTTTTCTCCTTGTACAATTGGCCTAAAAGAGATAAATTAACTGAGATAGAATGCCAGTGAAATCCTTCCACATGCTGTATTAGTTACTATGGTGAATAATGTTTTGTTTTTGTGTGTCAGAAAAATCTAGGGATGGAGGCATATGTGGCTGAAGCAATAGAAGGCCTGCCTAGCAAGCATGAAGCCCTAAGTTCAAACTTACAGTTTCTTCTCCTAAGTACTACTCAGGAGGAGAATAAAAAAATTGTTTTGATATGGATAACGTTTTTATGTTTTGAGTATGGTGACAGTTTGGTTTTTTTTTTTTTTTTTTCCAGTCCTGGGGCTTGAACTCAGGGCCTGGGCGCTGTCCCTGAGCTTCTTTTGCTCAAGGCTAGCACTCTACCACTTGAGCCACAGCACCACTTCTGGCTTTTTCTGTTTATGTGGTACTAGGCATGCATAGGCAAGCATTCTACCACTAAGCCACCTTCCCAGCCCTTAATTTCACTTTTACTGAGGAGAAAGGTCCCTGTTGACTTCTTTTTCATAAAAAAGTATAATGTGTTGAGATGAGCATGATGAGGCATGCTTATAGTATCAGCTCTCTGGAGGCTGAGGCAGCAGGATTGTGAGTTCAAGACCAGCCTAGGTTACATTGACACAATATCAAAAAAGAAAAGAAAAGAAGAAAAAAAACAAAATCTGTGTTTTTAGTGGCTTATTAATCTGTAATTTGGCTCATTCACAGATCCTGTCTGCCTTTCATGACCAACTACAGTTTCCATTGCAATGTATGCCATCACAGTGGGAATACCTATTTCCTCCGGAAGCAAGCAAGTAAGAACAATTAGGATATTTCACAAATGACAGTCTACTGAAAAAGACAAAAGCTGTGGGCTTAGTATAATCAAGATACTTTTGTATCTGGTAGGAAGTTAAGTTTGGGTTAACTTGGGGTTTAGCTTGGGATAATTATTGTTGATCCATTTCAGAACAAATAATGATCTCACTTTTGACTACTCTAGAAGTTACTTTGTTTCTCATCTTGTTGTTTTTAACCATGCTGATAGAAATGTATTACAGGGAACGATTTTCTTTTTGTTTTTGATAGATTTAAAGGAAATGTGCCTTAGTGCTTTAGCCAATCTAACATGGCAGTCCCGAACACAGGATGAACATCCAAAAACTATGTTCTCCAAAGATAAGGTAGTATGTAATTAATATAATTACAATTATATTAAAGAATGGGGTGGAACTTCTAAATATATGCTTTAATAACAATAACTTTATCCTTAATTTTTATGCATGAAAGATTATAAATTCATGATTTTCTTGTTTTTAACTTCATATTATTTACTGATTTCCTACAATGTGTTATGTTGCTTAGCTGATAGTATTATATATCCTTAAATTGTTTTGATTTGCCTTATAAAAGCAAGCAGATGTCTATCTCATTACAGTCAGAGCTGAGGCAGACTTCTCAACCTAGTGTAGGCCCTCCCCCTTATTTTGCCAGTCCTGGTGCTTGAACTCAGGGCCTGGGCACTGTCCCTGAGCTTCTCTGTGCTCAAGGCTAACCCTTTACCACTTGAGCCACAGTGCCATTTCCAGCTTTTTCTGAGTAGTTTATTGGAGATAAGAGTCTCATGGACTCTAACCTTGATCTTCAGATCTCAGCTTCCTGAGTAGCTAGGATTACAGGTATGAGCCACTAGTGCCCAGCTGTTTAGCCACTTTTTATAGATATCGCCCTTTGTCAATGGGGAAGAGGCTCAGTCTCCTTTTATTTTGTTTTATTTATTTTTTTTTTTTGTCAGTTGTGGGGCTTGAACTGGGCCTGGGCACTGTCCCTCAACTATTCAGCTCAAGGCTAGCGCTCTACCACTTGAGCCACAGCGCCACTTCCAGCTTTTTCTGTGTATGTGGTACTAAGGAATCGAACCCAGGGCCTCATGCATGTGAGGCAAGCACTCATCACTGAGCCACCTTCCCAACCCCCTCAGTCTTCCTTTATTATCAAAAAAAGTTATCAGCCAGCATTGGTGGCTCACGCCTGTAATCCTAGCTACTCTGAAGGTTGAGATCTGAGGATTACAGTTTGAAGCCAACCAGGGCAGAAAAGTCCCTGTGAGATTCTTATTTCCAATTAGTCACTCAAAATCCTAAAGTGGCACTCTGGCCCAAAGTGGTAAAAGTTGTTGAGCAAAATTGCTCAGGGACAGCACTCAGGCCCTGAGTTCAAGCCCCATGACTGACAAAAAAAAAAAAAAAAATTTAAAACAGTGGGGTTACCAGGCACTGGTGGCTCAAGCCTGTAATCCCAGTTACTCAGGAGGCTTTGATCTGAGGCTTGCAGTTCAAAGCTATCCCAGACAGGAAAATTTGTAAGACTCCAATAAATTACTCAGAAAAAAAAAACAGAAGTGGTGCTGTGGTTCAGGTGGTAGAGTGCTAGTCTTGAGCACAAAAGAGGCTCAGGGACAGCGCCCGGGCCCTGAGTTCAAACCCTAAGACTGGTAAAAATAAAAACAAAAACAAAACAATGAGGTTTGCATTGTTACTTAGCTCCCATTTAAAGTTAAAATAAGTTCTAAAGATTTTCCACTCAATATTACAGTATTTTTTTTTTTCCCACTCATGGGGCTTGAACTCTGGGCCTGGCCCTGTCCTTGCGCTCTTCAGCTCAAGGCTAGCTCTCTACCACTTGAGCCACAGTACCACTTCCAGTTTTTGGGTAGTTTATTGGAAGTTAAAGTCTCACGAACTTTCCTGCCCTGGCTGGCTTTGAACTGCAATCCTCAGATCTGTTTCCTGAGTAGCTAGCCACCAGCGCCTGGCTTACTACAGTATTTTCTATTCTTTAGTTTTTATTAATAGTGATGGTCATGGGGCTTAAACTTGGGGCTTGGGCATTTCCCCTCATCTTTTTCTGCTCAAGGCTAGTGCTTTACCACTTTGAGCCACAGCACCACTTCTAGTTTTCTGGTGGTTATTTGGAGATAAGAGTCTCAGGCTGACTTTGGACCATGATTCTTAGATAATCCTGAGTAGTTGGATTACAGGCATGAGCCACCAGTACCTGGCGAATTTTCTATGCTTGTCAGTGCTAGTTTACCTACAAAATTGAGACATGAACTTGAGCTACCTGTTCTAGGTTCGTGAGGTGTTTTTTTTTTAATTAAAAGAAAAAAAATTTTTTTTTTGGTGCCAGTCCTGGGGCTTGGGCACCATTCCTGAGCTTTTTTGTTTAAGTGCTCTACCACTTGAGCTACAGCTCATTTGGTGCTTTTTTTTTTTCCTGCCATAGCTGACTTTGAGCCTCAATCCTCATATTTCAACCTAAGGAGTTCTAAGGATTACAAGTGTAAGCCATCATCACCCAGCTTGGTTCGTGAGGTTTTGATCAGCAAACAATTACATGTATTGAACTGATTTCATAAGATTATAAGGGAGCTGAACAATTCCCCTTGACTAGATTATGTAGTCATCATTAACTTTGTACTGCAGTGTATTATGTGTTTATGGTGATGCTGGTATAAAGAAAACCACTGTACTGTTAGTTGGTATGAAGTATAGCACATAGTTATGTACAGAATATAATCCTTGGTAATAAATAACTTAATGAGGGTTCAGTGTAGTCTAGCTAGTCTGAAATTCATGTTCCTACTTCAGTTTCTTAAATGCTGGAATTAAGAGTTTGAACTATTACCGGGCTCTGGTTCATAGCTGTAATCCTAGCTACTCAGGAGGCTAAGGTCTGAGGATCACAGTTCAAAGCCAGCCCAAGCAGGAAAGTCCATGAGACTCTTTATCTCCAATTAACTACCAGAAGATCAGAGGTGAAGCTGTAGCTCAAAGTGGTAGACCATTAACCTTGTGCACAAAAGCTCAGGGATAGCAGGCAGGCCCTGAGTTCAAGCCCCATGACCAAAAATGAAAAGTGAATATTATCTTGCCTTGCTTGAACTTTACTTTTTATCATTATTTTAGAGTATAGTCTTCTTTAAAAATAAAAGTTGGTTGCAAAACAGTACATTGTTTAATGTCATGTACAGGCTCATACATTTCATGCTTACTGTGTGTGTGTGTGTGTGTGTGTGTGTGTGTGTGTGTGTGTGTGTGTGTGTGTGTGTGTGTGTGTGTGTGTGTGTGTGTGTGTGTGTGTGTGTGTGTGTGTGTGTGTGTGTGTGTGTGTGTGTGTGTGTGCGCGCTCTGGTACTATAGCTTGAACCTGAGGTCTCATGCTCTTATGTATGCACCTTTCTAGTACACGGATGGTACTATGCCACTTAAACCATGCCTCTAGTCTGACTGCTGGTTAAGTGGAGATAAGGAGTCTCACATACTTTTCTGATTAGGCTGGCTTCAAACCATGATCCTCTGATCTCAGCCTCCTGAGTAGTTAGGTTTGTAAGTATGGGCTAGCCACATCTGGCATTAGCATGTCTCTTGAAGGCCTTGTTTTCTCTTGACTTTTCTTCTTTTATTTCATATTTGTTTCATCGTGGCCCTAGAAGCAATAATACAATTCATAATCATTCATTACTGGGTTTCTGATGCATTGTCCTACAATTGACTGATGGAACCTTATCACTCAGATAGATGAAACTTTTTTATTTTTATTTTTTTTGTCTGTTATGGGGCTTGACCACTATCCCTGAGATTTTTTGCTCAAGGTTAGTATTCTACCACTCTGAGCCACAGCACCACTTCTAGTTTTTTGGTGGTTAATTGGAGATAAGAGTCTCTCAAACTTTGCTGCTCAGGCTGGCTTTGAACTGTGATCTTCAGATGCTCAGCCTCTAAGTAGCTAGGATTATAGACGTGAGCCATCAACACATGCCAAACTTTTTTGGCATGTCTCCATCAGTTGTTTTGAGACCAGATCTCTTTATGTATCTTAGACATAACTAGGAACATATTATCCTCTTGCCTCAGCCTCCCTAATTCTGGGGAAGAGAGAGAGAAATAGAGTGTGTGTGAGTGTGAGTGAGTGAGAGTGTGAGTCAGTGTGTCAGTATTTTTTGTGGAGCTTGAACTCAGAGCCTGGGCACTGTCTCTGAGCTTTTGTGCTCAAGGCTAGTGCTCTACCACTTTGAGCAGCAGCTCCACTTCTGGTTTTCTGGTGGTTAATTGGAGGTACGAGTCACACAAACTTTCCTGCTTGGGCTGGCTTCAAACCATGATCCTCAGTTCTCAGCCTCCTGAGTAGCTAGGATTACAGGCAGGAGCCACTGGTGCCCAGCAACTTGGGGATTTATAGGTGTGTTTGTCACTATGCCAGGATTCCCTGTCAATTTTTAAACTCTTATTTTCTAGGAAAATCAAATATTTCAGGCTTTTGTATTCTCTCTGATTCAACCCCTGTTCATTTTGGTAAAGATTTAGTTTCCAAGGTTGAGAATGTGGTTTAGTGGTAGAGTGCTTGCCTAGCATGCACTGGGTTCAATTCCTCATTACCACATAAATAGAAAAAGCCAGAAGTGGCGCTGTGGTTCAAGTGGTAGAGCACTAATCTTGAGCAAAACTCAGGGACAGTGCCCATGCCCAGGCCCTGAGTTCAAGCCCCAGGACTGGCAAAAAAAGAAAAAGGAAAGAAAAAAATATTTAGTTTCTACAGAGCTAACTCTAGTGGTGTCAGACTTTGGAAGATTCTGTAAAATATGAATGATTTTATGCCAAAAGATCAGCCATATTTTGGACATTTTACATGTTTGGGACATGTAAATCAGGGCTGGAAAGCACCATCAATTAAAGTAGTGGAGATGAAAAAAGGATCCTGGTAATGTGAAATTGGTGAAAGATGACCTAAAAGTATCTTGCTTTTGATTCTGGGTGATCAGCAGTTTTGAGTATTAAGAGCGGTATGATGCAGAATTTCTTCCATTTTAGTTACAAGAAAATTTTGGTGTCTAGAGGATATCCAAAAGATGTTATAAGTAGGGAGAAACAAGAGCTCAGAAAATAGTGATTTATAATTTTCCAGTTGATGCCAAAGACAATGTGACAGTTCTTCCCTCTGATTGTATGAGACACTCTAAGTAGATAAAATTTATATGTCGGTGTTGTTTGCAAGCAATTAAATATTTGTTGAATGATTAAAGTCTAAAGATAGTTTTGTTTTTTTAAATAGATCCTAACAATGTCTTTAAAAATGGGTCTGTTTCTTTTCTTTGTGAGCATAATTTTGAAAGCTACTATGAGTCTTAATGTATTTTATCTTAAAAATTAGGATATTATACCATTTATTGATAAGTATTGGGAGTGCATGACAACCAGACAGAGACCTGGGAAAATGACTTGGCCAAATAACATCGTCAAAACAATGGTAAGTAGACTAAAACTGAGTATACATTTGACATTTAAAAAACCAGTGCTTTTAATAACAATGAAAGTTTAATTAATCTCATTGTAAAATAATTTTCTGACTAAGAAAATGAGCGATTTGATCTTTGAGAGTATTAGATGCAGATCATTCTAAGTTAAGTAGTTTTCAAACAGATTCATTGAGTTGTATATTATATTTAAGTGAACATCATTCTTCTGGCTGGGTGCCAGTGGCTGATGAGCCTGTAATCCTAGCTACTCAGGGGGCTGAGATGTGAGGATTGTCATTTAAACCCAGCCCTGGCAGGAAAGTCTGTGACACTCTTATCTCCAATTAACCACTTAAAAAGCTTTAAGTGGAGTTGTGGTTTACACGTAGAATATTAGCCTTGAGCACAAATACTCAGTGATAGAGCCCAGACCCTGAATTCAAGCCTTAGGGCTGGAACACACACAAAGTGAATATCATTCTCTTCCCTTTAGTTTTATACATTGGAAATCTTGCCCATTGTATTTTTGTCAGTCTTGAGGCTTAAACTCTGGGCCTGGGCACTGTCCCTGAGCTCTTCAGCTCAAGGCTAGTGCTCTGCCACTTGAGCCACAGCCCCACTTTTGGTTTTCGGGTGGTATATTGGAGATAAGAGTCTCACAGACTCTTCTGCCCAGGCAGCCTCCTTAGTATCTAGGATTACAGGCATGAGCTACCAGCACCCGGCTTGTAAGTATAATTTTATATTGAAATTGGAGACCATTTATACTTTTATTTTTGTCAGTCGTGGGACTTAAACTCGGCCTGGGCATATTCCCTCAGCTCTTCAGCTCAAGGCTAGCACTCTACCACTTGAGCCACAGTGCCACTTCCAGTTTTCAGGTGGTATATTGGAGATAAGAGTCTCCTGGGCTTTCCTGCCTGGGCTGGCTTTGAACGGTGATCCTCACATCTCAGCCCCCTGAATACCTAGGATTATAGGTGTGAGCCACTGGTGCTCTGCTGTTTATACTTTTACGAAGACCCAAAACCAAACCAAATTGACTTTATAATTTAAGAGAGGAACTGGGAAGCTGGGCGCCAATGGCTTATGCTTGTAATCCTAGCTACTCAGGAGGCTGATATCTGAGGATCGTGGTTCAAAGCCAGCCTGGGCAGGAAAGTCTTCGAGACTCTTACCTCCAATAAGCCACTCAGAAAAAAATATATATATGAAAATAAAAGAGAGGAACTGGGGAGAAGTTAACAGTAAACTACTAATAGTGCATATTTTTGTGGGATAGAAGACGAGGTGAGTATTATTCTATTTTATCTCTATCATTTATTTATGGTGCTGGTACTGAAGTTTTAAGTAAAGCTCTGTCTCTAAGCCCTTTTGCCCAAGGGTGGTACTTTACTACTTGAGCCACATTTCCACTTCTAGCCTATTGGTGCTTAGAGGTAATAATCTTACAGACTTTTCTGCCCGGGCAGGCTTTGAGCCATGATCCTCAGATCTCAGCCTCCTAAGTAGCTAGGATTACAGACAGGAGCCATCTATGCAATCTCTTAAGTATAACATTTTCATTAATATTAAGATTCTATTTCCCTTTTCAGAGTAAAGAAAGAGATGTTTTCTTGGTAAAGGAACATCCTGATCCAGGGAGTAAAGATCCAGAAGAAGACTACCCCAAATTTGGACTTTTGGATCAGGTAGATTAATTTGCTCCATGTTCTCTTTTTTGTTTAAGCCATTTGAAGATAGAGAATCAGATTTTGTTTACATCTATATGTATACCACTACCCATAAAGTGATATAGTTTACCACATTATGTGCATGTAATAAACAGCAACCTGCTTGGCTATCTTAAATCCTATCTTAAAATAACCAAGGACTACAGGATTGTTCAGCGATATAGCACTTGTGTAGCATATGTAATGAGTCCTGTTCCATCCCTAACACTGCAAGTAAATAAATAACCAAAAGAAAAAAGTGAATGGGACTCCGACTACATAGGGTAGGATTCTATAGGGAGCTGTGTCCATAGGGTTTAACCACTTTAGTTGCCATGTAGCAGTTCCTCCTCCACCCTGGTTGATTGGTTAATTGGTTAATTAAATTACCTGACTTTCCTGTCCACAGGCCACTAGCTGGATTCCTGAAACACACCTCTGGCTAGTTTTGTTTCGTTTTGTTTTGTCCATTGTGGAGCTTGAACTCTGGGCCTGGGTACTGTTCCTGAGCCTTTCAGCCCAAGGCGAGCGTTCTACCACTCGAGCTACAGCTCCACTTCCAGTTTTCTGGTGTTAATTGGAGAGAAGAGTCTCATGGACTTTCTTTGCCCAGGCTGGCTTTGAACTGCCATCCTCAGATGTCAGCCTCCTAAGTAGCTAGGATTACAGGCATGAGCCACTAGCGCCCAGCAACCTCTGGCTAGTTTGAAACTCCTTTAGGATTATCAATGCAATTACAATTTCTCATTATTTTTGATTAATTGCCATACTAATTTGTTTATTTAGTCTCCCTTTTTCTTTGGATATTTTTCCTTCTAGGATCTAAGTAACATAGGTCCTGCGTATGACAACCAAAAACAAAGCAGTACTGTCACTACCAGTGGGAATCTAAATGGTAAGTTTTTCAGTGTGTCATTTTTTAAATATTTTTAAGCTATAATTGTTCCTAAGATTGGACATTCTTTGGGATGACCCATACCTGGATATTTCCTAATATGCTTTATAGTTCAGAATACAGTTTTTATCAGCAAGTCAAGGATTTGGCAGAGGTGAACTTTTGTCACAGCACAGCTTTTTGTTTTTTTGTTTTTAATATTAGTGGTACATACTAACTATACAAGTCAATGGAATTCACTGTGCTATTTCCTTACATGCATATATCATGCATTGATGATGTCTATTCAGCCACAGTTTGGTCTTCAGTAAGACAGAGTTAGTGTAAGACAAGGTACAATTTTAAGATTAAATTTACTGTGTTTATACTCACTCTGATCTGTTTCTTTACAACTAATATTTTAGCTAAGTGTAGTTGCTTTTTATTCTTTCCACAATTCAGCTTCCACAGTTCATTTTCTAATTTTTCTTGCCCTGTATAATTTCTAAAATTTCTTACCCAGTGTACTCATTTGACAGCATTTCTTTATGGAATGGAACACCATCTATGGCATGTTTATTTGTGTTTGGTAACACATTAATAGGGGAATGAATGCTTGTCATTAGTAGTGATAACCTAAGGAAACTAAGGAAAGCTGGGAGGTAGCTAGTCATCTGATACATGGCATCATTAACTTCAAAAGGGAGAGCATCTTAAGTATTTATTATAACATGGGTTGGAAATGTAAGTGTATTGTTTATCTCTTACACCATGTTTTCTTGTGTAATTGTTAAAATTTGACAAATACATGGTGCCACTTCTGTTCCTACAGGTGGAGCCACTTTTGGAGGTGAATTCCTCCTCTGTCTTCTTTCAGCCCCTCAGACTTAAGTATTTTGTGGTTTGGAAAATGCTTTTTTGCTGAGTTGTGGTAGAAGCTAAACCTAAATAATTTTAAAGCCTTGTGAAAGTGGTGGCAATAGCACTTAATATGAATAGTAGTTCAGTTAAATGTTAGTAATTAAAAGCTTGTATGTTGTCATATTCTGCCTAACATGGCCAGCAGTTCCTTTAGGGTCCAGAAATAATTATTTTAAAAAAACTAATAATTTTTGATTGATGATAATGACATTGTAATAGTTTAACATTAAACTTATGAGAAGTAGGAAGTAGGAATCTGGTATGTTTATAAAAGGAAATTCTACATCTACATCTGGTCCTGTGTATGCAGAATATGACCTACCCTCAATGTCTTGATCCTTTTTATTGCAGCAGAAGTGCTGATAATTTCCAAGCTTGCCCAAATTTATATATAGTACTCTATGCAGTTGTTTACATAAAGGTGTTTTCCTGCAGTTCAGGGACATTTTCTGGAAGGAAGGAGAAACAAACCGAGAGGAATGATAGAACTGGAAAAAAACTTCAAAGTACCGATTTCAGACATATACAAGGAAATATTCCTTGTGGCCTTAATATATTGACAATTGTTTTTGTATAAAATATGTAAATTGTTGATTTGTCCTTAATTCCACAAGCCAAATTAGGCTAACCTAAATTTGATGACACTAGCACACTTGTAATAAATGTATTGACAAATGGATGTAGAAGTAAAACTTGACTACTAAAAGAAAACTCCTTTCTTACTTCTGTCATGTAACCATGATGATTATTGGGCAGCACTGGAGAGAAACACCTTTTTAGTACTTCTGTTTCTGTTTTCATGTTTGATGTACTTTTGTCTTGTTGGATATTAAAGTTAAGTGCTTTAGCAGATGCTGTAACTTTATTATGTTTACAAAATACATTGTGTAGTTCAAGCAAGTGAACATGGGCCCAAAGTGAGGACAGTTTCATTATGGATGTTTATATTGGTTTGAGTGGGGCAAAAACGTGTATCCATGCAATTTTTCATTCTTTTTAGCTATGGGTTCTTAGAATCTGAAAGAGGGCAGATGCATTTGTGTCACATCCTTAAATGTACTAATAATTGCAGTTCGTTAAGAAAGGAAAGTTGGAGATTTAACACAGTTATCACTAGTGCTAGATTACATTTGAGGACCCAGTGTGTGGGGCTGTAAGAACTGAGTAGATTACTTTTAGAACCAGGGTAAAATCTAGTCTGCTTTCAGAAGGAAACTCTCCTGTGGTGTTACACAAATGCACATTGGGTGTATTAGTCCCCATGGAATTGCAGTATCCATGTGGTGCTTCCATTACAACTCAATGAAAGTCATCTGCCTTCTCTTCAAAGGGGGAATTGCAGCAGGAAGCAGTGGAAAAGGAAGAGGAGCTAAGCGCAAACAGCAGGATGGAGGGACCACAGGGACCACCAAGAAGGCCCGGAGGTGGGGAGAAATGCACCCCACTTATCCCCATTTGCTTATTTGATGCTGGCAAAGTCCACTACAGGAGAAAGAACCATATTCTTCAGTAATTAAGTGTCTGAGGCTAAAAAGTAAAAAGCATGTTACCAGACCAGCTGCTTATCCATATTTTCAAAGCCTTGAGCCAAGGGGCAGAACAAGCCCAGTATAAGTATTCTGTTTTATATACTTGTTACCACTAAAACAGAATCCAGGGCAGAATCCTCTGGTGATAAGTCTGGGTTTATATAAAGTTCCTTTATCTTCTCTCCTTACCCTAGGCTTGAACTCTGGGCCTGGCTACTGACCCTGAGTTGCTATTGCTCGAGGTACCATTCCCTATTGTTTCTGTGATTAATTGGACATAAGAGTCCCAAGGACTTTCTGCCTGGGCTGGCTCCCAACCATGATCCTCAGATCTCGCCTCTTGAATAGCTAGGATTATAGGTATGAGCCACCAGCCCATAGAGGCTAACTTATCTTTCTCAAATTAAGTTCCCTTATCTTGAGAAAGGATAGATGGGGACAAGAGAGTGAAGCTAACTGAATGTTAGCTCATTAACTTGTCATGCCTTTTCCTTTCCCTTTGTCTAATACTGAAGTGATGAAATGCAGGTCACTTATTTTGACTGGCAAACAGGTAATAAGTGCTCATATCTGTGAGTTTATGTTCATTGATTTATATAATAAATATACTAAAGAAAATTACCTTCAGCCCTTGTTCCTCTTCTCCTCTGATAAGTACTGGCTGTTTGTGCTTAAGGACGATCAGTAGTGACCCTTCTTTGACAAGTTACTGGTCAGTCCCTATAAAGTATGATTACATTTCACCGAAACTGCTTTGCAAAGTAAAGTAATCCCTTGCATTTCACCTGTTTGGACTGCAGAGGGCAGGATGATCTTTTAAGAAGTATTTAAGAAGTTGCATGGTTTCCAACTGAAATCTAATAAATCAAGCCTTTCTTACAAATTAGAAGTAGAGGTTACTATAACTAGAAGGGTATTTTAAATTATTTTGGTTTTTTTTCAGTGACCCTTTGTTTTCTGCTCAGCGTCTTCCCCCTCATGGATACCCCTTGGAACACCCATTCAATAAAGATGGCTATCGGTATATTCTAGCTGAACCTGATCCCCATGCTCCTGATCCTGAGAAGCTTGAGCTTGATTGCTGGGCAGGAAAACCTATTCCTGGAGATCTCTACAGAGCTTGCTTGTATGAACGAGTTTTGTTAGCTCTACATGATCGAGGTATGGAAGGTGGTATTAGTATTAGTATGTATTTCAGGGTTACTTTGACCTGCTATATCAGCTTTGTCCAATCTAGGCTGAAAAATATATCTTAGTCTGTTATTTCTGCCCCAGCTTGTCATCTCTAACTAGACTTGAGCAGAATATGTAAGAGATCATTTTTGCTTCCCCACAAGTTTTAGCCATGTTATGTACATTTTATGCATGGTTTTTTTTGTTATTGTTTCTGTGCCCATCCTAAGACTTGATCTCAGGGCCTAGGTGCTGTCTTTGAGCTCAAAAGCATAGGGACAGGGGCATGGAAGTGGCTCAGTAGTAGAATACTTGTCTTGCATGCATAAGGCCCTGGCTTCAATTCTTCAGCACCACATAAGCAGAAAAAGCCGGAAGTGATACTATGGCTCAAGTGGTAGAGCACTAGCATTGAGCTGAAGAGCTGTGGGACAGCGCCCAGGCCCAGAGTTCAGGCCCCATGACCAACCAAAAAAAAAAAAAATGCATAGGGATAGTGCTCAGGCCTGGAGTTCAGCCCCAGGACCAACACATAAGAAAACCCAAAAAATGGACTGGGCATGTAGCTTAATGGTAGAGTGCTTGTCTTGGGTTCAGTTTCTTGGTACCACATAAACAAAAACAAACAACAATGAAAAAGAAGGCAGAAAAGTCTGAGAGACTCTTATCTCCAATTAACCACCAGAAAACTGGTAATGGTGGCTGTGGCTCAGAGTGGTAGAGTGTTAGCTTTGAGTTAAAGAGCTGAAGGACAGTGCCCAGGCCCAGAGTTCAAGCCTCAAGATGGACAAAAAACAAAACCTATTTTGGTGGTATGTCTCAAGTGGTAGAACATTTGCCTAGCAATATCAAAGTCTTGAGTTCAAACCCCCGTACCATAAAACAAAGCAATAACATTTTTATTTATTTATTTATTTTATTTATTTTTTTTGGTCAGCTGTGGGGCTTGAACTCTGGGCCTGGGCGCTGTCCCTCAGCTCTTCAGCTCTACCACTTGAGCTACAGCGCCACTTCCGGTTTTCTAGTGGTTTATTGGAGATAGGAGTCTCACGGTCTCTCCTGCCTGGGCTGGCTTTGAACCGCGATCCTCAGATCTCAGCCTCCTGAGTAGCTAGGATTACAGGCGTGAGCCACCAGCGCCCAGCTAACATTTTTATTTTTGAAGTACTATGGGTTGAACTCAGGATACTGTGCTCTCTAACGCTAAAGGCCAGCACTCTAGAACTTGAACCACACCTCCAGTTTGGACTTTCTGCTGGTTAATTGGAGATAAGAGCCTCGATTTTGTTCTGCCCTGGCTAGCTTTAAACTACAATTCTCATATTTCAGCCTCTTGAGTAACTAGGATATCATAGGCATGAGCCCACTTTTTTTTTTTTTTTTAATTTAATTTTATTTTATTTGAGAACATACTGTACAGAGGGGTTACAATTACATGGGCAGGATCATGCATACATTTCTTACCAAGCATTGCAGCCTCCTCCTTTGTTTACCCTTCACCTCCCTTCCCAGCCTCCCCCCTCCCCCCCACCCAATCCTTCCCCCCTCCCCCCCCCCCACACCGACATTGTAAAGCTCTTTTTTGACATGACATTTTGTACTTCTCATTGTTGCAACAGGTCCATCTGAATCCTTAAACGACTTGTTTGTCCCCATCTCCTCCACAAGTTATGCTGACATCAAATATAGTGAAAGCGGGGGTTACACTGTGGGGGAGGGACATACAAAGCAACAAAGAAATAATCTTATAAATGCGTTAGAAACACATGCATGAAAGAAAAAAAAACATTAAGATACATAATTAATGGTTTGTTTTCCTAACATCACATTATCTGGCATGAGCCCACTTTATATAGATTTTACTTTTTTTTTTTTTGGTCGGTTGTGGATCTTGAACTCTGGGCCTGAGCAGCTATCCCTCAGCTTTTCAGCTCAAGGTAGGCGCTGTGCCATTTGAGCCACAGGGCCACTTCCATTGTTAATTGGAGATAAGAGTCCACGGACTTTTCCTGCCTGGTCTGGCTTTGAACTGCGATCCTCAGATCTTAGCCTCCTAAGTAGCTAAGATTACAGGCATGAGCCACCAAGGCCTGGCTTGGATTTTACATTTTAAACTCATAGTGAAGTTAGAAAAATAATGAAATTCATCTCATCAAGCTTCTCCTAATGATAGTATCTTATACAATCACAATAGTTAATAAAAACTAGGAAATTAACATTGGTAAATGTTCTTTTTTTTGGGGGGGGGGGGAGCTTGAACTCAACCTGAGCGCTATCCCTCAGCTCTTCAGCTCAAGGCTAGCCCTCTACCACTTGAGCTACAGCTCCACTTCGGTTTTCTGGTGGTTTATTGGAGATAAGAGTTTCACAGACTTTGCTGCCTGGGCTGGCTTGAACCATGATCCTCAGATCTCAGCCTCCTGAGTAGCTAGGATTACATGCGTGAGCCATTAGCGCCCGGCTGGTAAATGTTCTTAAATTAGCGAATACTAAAGCTTAAATATCTTTAATCTGAAAATCCAAAATGTTCATAAATATAAAATCTTTTGAGTGTCAATATGGTTCTCAGAATTTTTAGAACTGGGCGCCAGTGACTCACACCTATAGTCCTATAGCTACTCAGGGACTGAGATCTAAAGTATTGAGGTACTCAGCTAGCCAAGGCAGAAAAGTCTGGGAGACTTCTGTTTCCAAAATAACCAGCAATACTTTGGTTTCTCTTCAGATCGTATAAATCTTTTACCTTTTATCAAAATAACCAGCAAAAAGCCAAACTGGAGGCATGGCTCTACTAATAGCCTGACAACAGAGTGAGCTTAAGGCCCTGAGTTCAAGCCCCAGTACTGGAAGAGGGACACTTCTGATCCCAAGTATTTTACATAAGGGATACTCAACCAGTATTAATTAATGACCTTACTTAAATTTCACCAGATTTTCCACTAACATTTTTCATTAAGATCCCTCATTGCCAGCTATTTCTTCTTAGTTTATTGTAGTCTTTGAGATCTTCAGTAGTTTCTCAACTATATGTTCCATGACCATGGTACTCTTTTTGTGTATTAATTATATTATTTGTCAGAATTTATTCAGTAACCATTTGATGCTTTCTCATGATTAGATGGTAAGACTAGCATAGAAATGATTCCTTCTGGGGCTGGGAAGGTGGCTCAGTGGTAGAGCGCTTGCCTTGCATGCCTGAGGCCCTGGGTTCGATTCCTCAGCACCACATAAGCAAAAAGAAAAAAACCCGGAAGTGGCGCTGTGGCTCAAGTGGTAGAGTGCTAGCCTTGAGCTGAAGAGCTGAGGGACAGTGCCCAGGCCCAGAGTTCAGGCCCCACAACCGGACCCAAAAAAAAAAAAGAGATTCCTTCTTCTGTTTTTTTTTTTTGGGGGGGGGGGAGAGTTGTGGGGTTTTCTTTGGTCATGGGGCTTGAACTCTGGGCCTGAGCGCTGTCCCTTAGCTCTTCAGCTCAAAGCTAGTGCTCTACCTACCACTTGAGCCACAACGCCACTTCCAGTTTTCTGGTGGTTTATTGGAGTTAAGAGTTTCATAGCCTTTTCTACCCGGGCTGGCTGTGAACCGGGCTGACTTTGAACCACAGTCCTCAGATCTCAGCCTCCTGAGTAGCTAGGATTACAGGCATGAGCCACTGGCGCCGTGTGTGTGTGTGTGTGTGTGTGTGTGTGTGTGTGTGTGTGTGTGTGTGTGTGTGTGTGTGTCTGTGTGTCTGTGTGTCTGTGTGTGTGTCTGTGTGTCTGTGTCTGTGTGTGTGTCTGTGTGTGTGTGTGTCTGTATGTCTGTGTGTGTGTCTGTGTGTGTGTGTCTGTATGTCTGTGTGTGTGTTAAATGATTCCTTCTTGCTCCATCATCTCATGAAGTTATAATATTGGTATGTCTTTTGGTTATACTGGCTGTAGTGATTGAATTTAGGGTGCCCTGATGGCTTCTCTACTATAAAGTTTCTGTCATTGCCTTTGTAGTTAATAAACTTCTTAGGGAAAATACTTGGGGACTATCCTGTCTTTCCATAAAATTATGTTCACTGACTAGCACGTAGTTACCACTGTGATGCTTGCCTTTGATTTTTCTGTTTCTTTCCTAACTTCATTTATTTGATTATATTGGTAGGGACTTATAGATATTTATTTTCTTATAGATATTTATTTTCTCGAATTAATTTTTTGTTTAAATTATTCAAGTTTTGACTATTTGGAGTCTCTTCAATTGACACTTATGTTAATCCCTTTTTTTTTTAAAGTATTTTCTTACATTCTAATATCATACATATCTGGCTTATCTTGAGTTTTTCTTTTCTTTTTTTTTTGTTGTCATTTGTGGGGTTTGAACTCTGGGCCTGGGTACTATGCCTGAGCTCTTCAGCTCAAGGCAAGCACTGTACCACTTGAGCTAGCAGGCCATTTCTGGTTTTCTGGTGGTTAATTAGAAGATTCTCATGGACTTTCCTACCCCGGCTGGCTTTGAACCGTGATCCTCAGATCTCAGCTTCCTGAGTAGCTAGGATTACAGGCGTGAGTGACCTTGCCTGGTAGATTGTCTTAGTCTGTTCTTAATCTGTAACTGATTCTCCATCTTCTGTACTTTCTTGATTTGAATGCTTTTGAAGGGTACAAGCTAACTATTTTATTGAACAATCTTCAGTTTAGTTTTATCTAGTTCTCATGATTCAGATTCTCATAGGAGTGAGCTATGTTCTTCATCATAGTTAGGACCACAAATAGAGATAGCCCACATTAACTGCCCTCCACAATTTTAAGTCTGTCGTGATTTTACGGTGAAAATTAGATTTTCTTCTCTCTCTCTCTCTCTCTGTCTCTCTCTCTCTCTTTCTATCTCTCTGTCTCTTTTTAAATTTCTTTGCAGTGCTGAGTAGTAACCCTCTCTGGCCTTGTTTATGCTAGATAAGCACTCTACCACTAAGCTACATTCAGGCTTCAAAAGCTTAATATTTTGCTGGGCACTGGTGGCTCATGCCTATAGTCCTAGCTACTCAGGAGACTGAGATTTGAGGATCACAGTTCAAACTACGACAACAGGAAACTCTGTGAGACTCTTATCTCCAATTAAATCACAGAAAAAGCCCAGAAGTAGTGCTCTGACTCAAGTGGTAGAGTGCTAGCTTTGAGCAAAAAGAACTCAGGGACAGTGCTCAGGCCCAGAGTTCAAACCTCAGGACAGGCAAACAAACAATGAAAAAGTTTAACATTTTAAAGAATAGTTAAGTCAGGTCAGCATCTAAGCATATAACTGGTTTGTTTTAGGGACTATGCAGTATAATTTTAATTTGTCATCTTAAATATAATTATATTTAGGAAAACTAGATGTCCTGTTTCTTTTTCCTTCCTATCTGTTTTGTCGGTATCTTATGTTATAAATTTAAGACTCCTGAACTAAAGATTTAAGCACCTGACCTAGTATTTCTCACTTTTCATGCTAGTGTAAGGGACTCATGTCTCAAAGTACCTCAAATAAGCTTCAGGCCTCTGTTTTCTTCTCTACACTGCAGCTCCCCAGTTAAAGATCTCTGATGATCGGCTGACTGTGGTTGGAGAGAAAGGTTACTCCATGGTGCGGGCCTCTCACGGGGTTCGGAAAGGTGCCTGGTACTTTGAAATTACTGTGGATGAGATGCCGCCAGACACTGCTGCCAGACTGGGTTGGTCCCAGCCCTTAGGTAAGCTAACATTACAGTAAAGAGATTTAGGCCCAGGTCTTCCTGCCAAGACAAGATGATAGATTACTAAATAATTGGCATGAAGTTCAGTTCCTAAATGTTTGTCTACTTTATAATGCCTTGAATACATGTAGGAAATTCACAAAATTGACCCCCCCAAAAAAAACTGAAAAGGGTTGAATCTATTTCCTTTAGCAAACCAAAGTTGACTTATAATCCTCTGACTTTCCTATGTCTTTTTATTGGGACAGGTAACCTTCAAGCTCCCTTAGGTTATGATAAATTTAGCTATTCCTGGCGGAGCAAAAAGGGCACCAAGTTCCACCAGTCTATTGGCAAACACTACTCTTCTGGTTATGGGCAGGGAGACGTCCTGGGATTTTATATCAATCTTCCTGAAGACACAGAGACAGCCAAGTCGCTGCCAGATACTTACAAAGATAAGGTGAGCTCATCCTCTCCCAATGGGTTTCCTGTCTTTGAAGACCTGTGGCAGCCAGAGCCTGTAGCTGTGGCCTTGTGCTGTCTTGATACTGATGCACAGTTTACATCCCTTGCCCCAATACTTTATTATTAATATTCTCAGACAAGGTTGAAACAATTTAGCCAGTGCCTAAATACTCATCACCTACATTCTACCATTGGTGTGTTAGCCATTCATTTTTGAACACACTTCTCCCTAGGTATATAAGGATATAAATCATTAGCTAAATGCAGTGTATGTTTGTTTTAGTTTTTCCCTTGGTATAAGATTTATTTAAAATGAAACAAGACAGATTTTAAGTGAATATTCTTAGTTTTGAGATTGATCTAAACTCCTATCAAGTTGTATACCTTTTTTTTTTTTTTGTGATAGTCTTAGGACTTGAACTCAAGGCCTGGGCTCTGTCGCTGTGCTTCTTTTGCTCAAGACTAGTGCTATACTAGTTGAGCCACAGCTCTACTTCTAGCTTTTTTGGTAGTTTTTCGAGACTCTTCACAATTTCTCTTGCCCAGATGGGCAAGAGAACTGTAGTCCTCAGATCTTAGCTTCCTGAGTAGCTAGGATTACAGGTGTGAGCCACTGACACCAGGCTGATGTATAATATGGGACCAGAATGATTCATGTTGGCCTTTTCTTGTAAGTCTCCATCCTTATCCCTAGCCTCATAGATGCAACCACTATTTTAATTTTTCTGCTGTACTTTAGTTCTTGCCTGTTTTTTACTTACACTAATACACTAATGGTCTTATAGTACATAATCCTTGGTATTGGGCTTTTATAATTTGGCATAATATTTAGTGATTTATGTTGTTGTATTTATAGTGTTGTATATGTCTTGTGGTTCCTGCTTACTACAGGGTAAAGTACCCATTGCATGATTGTAGCATGGCATACTTTCTGTTTTCTTACTGTCCATACTTAGGCTGTTGTAAATTTGAGAATATTATAAGGATGCTGTAAACATTTTTACACATCTTTTTAAAAATTAATATGTAATTATACAAAGCAATTTCAGTTGTGTAGTTCAGGTTGCATCTTGATCAATGTCACCCTTTCTGTTATTCTCCTCAATTTTTCCCCTCCCATTCTTACCCTCAAGTAGTTCAGTTTTTACATTGAATATCATGACAGCTTTATTTTACCCTTCTTCACTCCTTTTGTCTGCCCCCTTCCTTACCTGCCTCCCCAACATTTTTCTACCTCCTGGTATTTCTTTTGTTAAACAGTTAGTTGTTCAGAAGAGTTACACCATTGGACTCCTCTTTTTCTAGGTATACCATCCTTTAGTCAGTTTGGTTGTATATTACATAGAGCCCTGTTTGTGATAGTTACCTATATGTTTAGTTTTATAAGAAATTACCAAGTAACCAGATGCCTGTAATTCTAGCCTCTTTGAAGACTGAAATCTGAGGATCCTGGTTGGAGTCCAGTGTAGGACTGGCTAAAAAGCCAGAAGTAGAATTATGGCTTGAGTGGTAGAATACCACCTAAAAAAAATCTAAGGGATGATACCAAGGCCTTGAGTTCAAGTCCTAGTACAAAAAAAAGAGAATGGATCAAAGGAAGAAACAATGAGGGAGGGAGTTAAATTACCACTTGAGAAGTATTGTTCATTGTCTGGGAACATAAATTTAGTTGTTTTGATGTGTGTGTGTATAATAGTGTTTCATTGTGGCTTAAATTAGCACTTCTTTGCTAGCTAAAGATATTGAACATTTTATTGTATCTTTTAAGTAGCTGTACAAAAAGACAACCATTTAATAAAGCAGCCTGACAGACTGAACATTTTTCATGATTTTTTTATGTGTATGCTTGTCCTGGGACTTGAGCTCAGGATCTAGACACTGTCCCTCAGCTTTTGTGCTCAAGGCTAATGCTCTTCCACTTTGCACCACACTGCCATTTCCAGCTTTTTGGTAGTTAATTGGAGACAAGAGTCTCATGGGCTTTTCTGTCCTGGCTGGCTTTGAATGGTCATGGCAATACAATAATCCCTCACTCCAGTGATAGATGGAAATTCCTGAAGTAGCCGTGTTATATAATCAACCCTCATTATATCACTGTTCACTTATTGCTACTTCGCGCATTTTTACCTATCATGGAGTTCTCTGGAGTGTGCTAGGTGTGCTAGGTGAGGGATCGCTATTTACATATTGTTTAGAAAAACCCCATGACACAGTGAAGCTGCAATACTGAGCCACAATATAGTGAGGGTCAGCTGTTCTTCGTTCTCAGCTTCCTGAGTTAGCTAGGAATCCAGGCCACCAACCTGGTCTATTTTTCATGCTCTTATCTACCTGTCTTTTCTAAAATCTCTGCATTTTACTTCTTTTTTAATTGGATTATCTCATTGTTTATTTTACAGGTATTTTATCCTAGTCTGTGATTGTCTGTACTTTTCTTTTTCTTTTTTTCAGTATTGGGTACTGAATTTAGAACCTTGAGCATGCTCAGTAAGCATTACCACTAAGTCATTCTCCAACTGTATTCCTTTTTCTTTTTGCCGGTCATGCAGCCTGAACTCTGGGCCTGGGCGCTGTCCCTCAGCTCTTCAGCTCAAGGCTAGTGCTGTACCACTTGAGCCACAGTACCCCTTCCAGCTTTTTCTGTTTATATAGAACTGAGGAATTGAACCCAGGGTTTCATGCATGCTAGGTAAGCTCTCTACCACTGAGCCATATTCCCAGCCCCAGAAGATACAGTTTTATAGGTCAGGTATTCATTACCCGGTACAGTGTCATCCCTTTCTTCCCTTTTCCTCAGTTTTCCTCTCCCTGTCCTTGCCCACAAATTGCATAGTTCATTTTCAACATAGTGTCTACTGAGTACCCTGGCTACATTTGTTCACCCTTCTGCCCTCCATTTCTGCGCCCCTTTTGTCCCCCTCAAAAGACAGAGAAAAGAGCAAACAAATGAAAAAGAATAAACAAATTTAAAACAAAACAAAAAGCAAAACAAACAACATTATCTCCACCAACAATGGCAACGTAAAAACTCCATGTTTCCATTACATAGAATTTTTTTTTTTTTTTAATCAGTTGTGGGGCCTGAACTCTGGGCCTGGGCACTGTCCTTGAGCTCTTCAGCTCAAGGCAAGTGTTCTACCACTTGAGCCACAGTGCCACTTCTGGTGTTTTCTGCTTATATGGTGCTGAGGAATAAAACCCAGAGCCTCATGCATGCAAGGCAAGCACTCTAATACTGAGCCACCTTCCTAGCCCTCCTAGAATTTTTTAAAATAATTTTTTATTGAGATTAAGTGATTACATAAATTTCACAGTATTGTGAGAGAGTGATACTTAAAGTCACAGCTTTTAAACTTCACAAGGCAAATTGTCATTATCATGGTCTATGTTTGTGAATTCTATGAGCTTCTGCTAAAACAGAGTTTTAATTTTTTGTTTTTTTTGTTTTGGTTGGTCTTGGGGCTTGAACTCTGGCCTGGGCATGTCTCTCAGCTCTTCACCACTTGAGCCACAGCGCCACTTCTGGTGTTTTCTGCTTATGTGGTGCTGAGGAGTCGAACCCAGGGCCTCATGCCTGCAAGGCAAGCACTCTACCACTGAGCCACCTTCCCAGCCCAAGAGTTTTAATTTTTTGTGTATGTGTCAGTCCTGGGGTTTGAACTCAGGACCTGGGTGCTGTCCCTGAATTCTTTTGCTCAAAGCTAGTGCTCTTCCACTTAAACCACAGCTCTATTTTCAGCTTTTTGGTGGTTAATTGGAGATAAGAGTCTCAAGAGACTTTCATACTGGAATTGGTGTTGAACTAGTATACTCAGATCTCACCCTTCTGAGTAGCTAGGATTATAGGTGTGAACTACTAGTTCCCAGTTAAAGTTTTAATTTTTATGAAATCAAATTTGTCAGATACTTCTGTTAGATACTCTAGCCTCAAACTTGTAATCTGCCTGCTTCAACCTTCCAAATATTAGGATTACAACTAGATTTTTCTTTAACAATTTTTTTTTTTTTTTGATTTACAGATCTTTGGGTAATTCCAAGTTATGAAAGTATCCTCTTGTGTTTTTCTTTGAAAGCACCAAGCTTTTAACTTTTTCATATGTCTCTGATCTATTAATTAATTAAATAAAATTAATTTTTGTATGTAGTATATGAGTCAAGATTTAAAGAAATATTTTGTTCATAGGAATACTGAGATAGTCCAGTGCCATTCTTTCTTTTCTTTTCTTTTCTTTTTGGGGGGGGGGGGTTCGGTCGTGGGGCCTGAACTCTGGGCCTGAGCACTGTCCCTCAGCTCTTCAGCTCAAGGCTAGCGCTCTACCACTTGAGTCACAGCGCCACTTCCACCTTTTTTCTTTTTGCTTATGTGGTGCTGAGGAATCGAACCCAGGACCTCAAGCATGCAAGACAAGCGCTCTACCACTGAGCCACCTTCCCAGCCCCAGTGCCATTATTTCTTTCTCTCCTGGATTTCTTTTGTATCTTTAGTACAAATGAAATGGCCTTATGAGTAGAGATTTCTTTGAGCTGTGTATTATGTAGAAGTATTTGTTGTCTTTTATGTTAGTACCAGTGTCTATTATTATACCTTTACAGTAGTGGATGTCTTCTTAGTTTGGTGAGTGAGTGGTGAGTGAATGTCTTCTTAGTTTCTTCTCAAAACAAGAAGTTCCAAATCTGTTTATTTTATCTTATGTTTTGTGGTGCTATAAATCAAACCCAGGCCTTGAAAATGCTATACAAAATTTCTATTCCTGTGTAGCACCCCAGACCATATTTCAGTTTCATTGCATCATTGACTCATCTCTCATCCTCCCACTTGAAGTCTTTAAACAAATATCAGTTAGTGCCTTTGTGTGTGTCTGTGTCTGTGTATGTGTGTCTGTGTCTATGGACTTGATCTCAGGACCTGGACTTGAACTCAGGGCCTAGGCACTGTCTCTGAGCTTTTTTGCCCAAGGTCAGTACTCAACAATTTGAACTACCACTCTACTTCCAGCTTTTGGGGTAGTTAATTGTACATAAGAGTCTCATAGGCTTTTCTGTCCACACTTTCTTTGAACTATGATCCTCAAGCCACCAGTGCCTGGCTAATGCCTGGTTTTATAGAACAAAGCAGTCTGTATTTACCTCAGAGTCTCCTGATAGAATCTATAAAGCTAGTCTTTGTTTCACTATACCAAGGTTTGAACTCAGGAACTACTTGCTAGGGCTGACACTCTACCACTTAGCCTTTGCATATCTATCATGCTCTTAGCCCTTGAACATTAGTTTCTAATTTAATTAACAATTTGTGGAATTATGCACATACAACAGAAAACTATGGATCTGTTTGAAAGCCTCAGATGTAGCAAAATAAAAATGATTTCCAGTTTATATTGGTGAATGAAAAGACCCAAAGCTATTTACAATATTTATCACATATGGCTTGTTTCTCCTGGCGATTATCTGGTGGATATTTTTTTTGTGAGTATTTTAATTTTGGAGATACTAAAGTAGATTTATATATTCTGGGAGAATACCAGATCACTGGTATAGTATTCTGTTTTTACAAGGTAAACTGGAGTAAGATAAGGTAAGTCAAAGAAAACCTTTATTGTAAATGTTAATATCTTATGATTTTTTTTACCATGTCTAGTCCATATTTGTGCAAAGAAAACTAAATTTTTTTAATTAATGTCACGTATTTATTTTTGAAGTGGAACCTACCAGGAAGAAAGAGAAGACCCAGAGGCCTGTCTTAAGGAGACATAGGCAGCAAATTAGGGGAGAGGAAAATGGCTTTCAGAATGTTGTTATACTAGGCATGGTGGTACACACATATAATCCCAGCACTTTGTAGGAAAGGGCAGGAGGATCTAAACAGAATTCTGGGCCAGTGTGGACTGTGTGGTAAGTTCAGACCAGCCTAGATATATAGCAAGATCCTGTTTAAAAAAAAAAAATTAGGAGCTGGGAAGGTGGCTCAAGTGGTAGAGCGCTAGCCTTGAGCTGAGGAGCTGAGGGACAGCGCTCAGGCCCAGAGTTCAGGCCCCAAGACCGGACCCAAAAAAAAAAAAATTATGGCTAGGAATGTGACTTAGTGGTTAAGTGCTTGTCTAGCATGCATGAAGCCTTGGGTTTGATTCCTCAGTACCACATATACAGAAAAAGCCAGAAATGGTGCTGTGACTCAAATGGTAGAATGCTAGCCATGGGCAAAAAAAGCCCAGGTACAGTGCCTAAGCCCTGAGTTCAAGACCCAGGACTGGCAAAAAAAAAGATAAAATAAATAGTTGTTATAGAATAGTTTAGGCTCTATGGAATTGTCATTTCTTTCAGTGAGATTATTGGAAAAGGTATAGATTGATGTAGCTTTTATGGACATTTGTGTTATGGTAAGAATACATTTCTTCAGATTTTCTTTGCAAAGGATTTTTTAATGAAAATATGTAACAAACATGGTTGTCTAGCGTCTTTTGAGAGGCGCATAATTGTTCAAAATTTGGCAAAATTCAGTGTCAGTGATTTTTGGTTTCTGCTGCAGAGCACAAGGACACTATGCTATTTACGTAAGTCTGACTTTATTTTCTCCATGATGCTGCTGCTGATGCTCCAATGTCCTTTTTTTTCTTTCTTTTTCCTCTTTTCAAGGCTTTGATAAAGTTCAAGAGTTATTTGTATTTTGAGGAAAAAGACTTTGTGGATAAGGCAGAGAAAAGCCTAAAGCAGACTCCTCACAGCGAGGTGAGTCATGGTTACTAAAAGGTCAGAATTCTGAGGCTTTGAAGACAGATCCACCCCTTAATGATAAAAGTGAGACAAATGAGAGGCCCAAAGCGGAATAAAGTAGAATTCCTTTAACATAGAACGCTACCCATCAGCTGAGCAAGTTCACATCACTGCCTATTGATTATGTGCTATCTGTGGTACCATGGTGTGGCTGTGAGAAGCATGGCAGGAAAGGGGTATAGGAACAACTGCATAGGCCCTTGAAGGAGCAAGTCTAATATCTTCACATCAGAGCAGGAGCCAAGTGCAGAGAAAGGAATACAACTAGGGGACACAGATACCACTCACTGTGATCTGGAGCCACCAGGAGTCCTGGTGGCTCACTCCATGCTCTAGAATTCACAGTTGTGGAAGGGCTGGCATATCTGGACTGGCCTCAGCCAGAAATCAAAGGAGAATAGGGTACAATAGGGAGGTAGAAAATTCTGAGCTGGAAACATTTTTTTTCTGTAAAAAATGTTGTAAAGTCACCAAAGGATGGTAATAGAAATGGTAATAGGGCTCAGGCCTGTAATCCTAGCTACTCAGAGCCAGCCGGGCAGAAAAGTCCTTCAGACTCTTATTTCCAACTAACTGTTAGAAAACTGGAAGTGGTGCTGTGGCTCAAGAGGTTGAGCGCTCACCTTGAGCTGAAGAGTGCAGGGACAGTGCCCAAGCCCAGAGTTCAAGCCCCACGACAGATCTCAAGAAAAAAAAGAAAAGATAGTAGGAAAAAGTGGAACTAGAATTCTAGTTGCTTTTAAAGGAGAAAATGTGTATATATGTATATGTATGTATACCTATATGTGTATAAGGGAAACAGTTAATAGATCCAAGCATGATATAGCCAGGTGAAGGTTGCTTTTGCTTGAAAGAGAATATTCATGATAATTAGGGGAGAGAAAGAACATGAATTCAGTCACTGTGTCAGAGAACTTATTAAATGAAAATATAAGAAATGAGAACAAGAAAGAAGTAAGGAAGTTACAGTTTCTTTTGCCTAAAATCAAGTTAGTATCATCCTTACCATTTACTGTTCGATACATGTCTATCCAAGGACAATATATGAAATGGATTTTTGGATTAAGGAGATAAAATAGGCACTTAATCTATTCACTCCATGCATTGACCTAGTATTGCAGTACTTCCAGAAACTGCAACTCTCAGGAAAAGTTAATAAATAAGTTAAGCAGGTGTCATTCCAAGGGCCCCATAGAAGATCAGCTTCTTATAAAAAAACAAATAACAACGAAAACCAAATGCATGTAGAACTGTGTGAAATGTGCAGCTTGGGACAAGCGAATAGGGAGTCTGAGATCAGCTGGGATAGTGCGTGTTTATATCAATTTTACTTTGAAAAATCAAAGGTTATTATGCTCATTTCAGATACTAGACAGGCAACATGTCCTTGGAATAAATAGTAAGGGGAAGTGTATAGGAACATTTTTAAAGTGTTCCCTAACAAAGTGAATTCCTTTTTTTTCATTAAAAAAAATTCTGAAGGGCTGGAAAGGTGGCTCAGTGGTAGAGCACTTGCCTTGCATGCCTGAGACCCTGGGTTCGATTCCTCAGCACCACATAAGCAAAAAGAAAAAAGCCGGAAGTGGTGCTGTGGCTCAAGTGGTAGAGCGCTAGCCTTGAGCTGAAGAGCTGAGGGACAGCGCCCAGGCCCAGAGTTCAGGCCCCACGACTGGACCAAAAAACAAAAACAAAAAAAAAAAAAAAATTCTGAAGTAAAGCCCTAATTTTTGTTTCAGATAATATTTTATAAAAATGGTGTGAACCAAGGTGTTGCTTACAAAGATATTTTTGAAGGCGTTTACTTTCCAGCCATCTCACTGTATAAGAGCTGCACGGTATGTATTATATCCCCCCACCCTGTGCACAGAACTCAAGGAAAGTGTGAGGATGAGTTATAGGAGAGCCATTGATCCTGCCCTAGAACAAAACACAAACAGCCTCAGTGACATGGGAGTAAATATGCTACTTCTTGTTAGGGTGCTGTTTTTATGTATTTTTACAGTATTGAGGTTTGAACTTGGGGCTCAAGTTTCATCGGCAGTCAAGACACTCTACTATTGAGTTAGGGTCTTACTTCTTCACCAGGCACAGACTTGGACTGCTGTTTACCTGTTATTTAGGCTTCCTGTTGATGAGAGATGATAAGGAGATTCATCAATATTAGTATATAATCTCATTTGCTCCACTTATACCCTAATATAATAGGTACCTTTTTGTGTTTGCTTCCTTGTTTGCCTATTCATTTTGAGATGAGGTAACCTAGGCTATCATTATACTCTATAGCCCAAGCTGGCCTTTATCTTATGATCCTCCTGCCTCAGTCTCACAAGTGCTGGGATTATAGACATGTACTACCACACCTGACTCATTAGTACTTTTTTTTTTTTTTGTCGGTCATGGGGCTTGAACTCTGGGCTTGGGTGCTGTCCTTGTGCTCCTCAGCTCAAAGGGGAACGCTCTACCGCTTGAGCCACAGCACCACTTCTGAGTTTTCTAGTGGTTTATTGGGGATAAGAGTCTCACACACTTTGAACCGTGATTCTCAGATCTCAGCCTCCTGAGTAGCTAAGATTACAGACATGAGCCACCAGTGCCTGGCTACTCATGAGTACCTTGAAATGAACATTTTTGCACATGGATCACTCTTGTCTTCTCAGCTTCACAGGTGGCTAAGATCAGAAGGACTGAGATTTTTCTGGCAAGCTTGCGTTAAAAAATTCTTAAGATTTTATCTCAACAGAAAAGGCTGGGCATGGTAGCACATACCTGTCTTCCTAGCTATAGTAGGAAGCCTAAATAGTAGGATTGTGTATCTGTGCCAGCCTGAGCTAAAACAAGACCCTGTGTCACTAACCAGAGCAAAAGGACTGGAAGTATGTTTCAAGTAAAAGGTGCTTGCCTAGCAAGTTTGAAACCCTGAGTTCAAACCTAAATACTGCCTTCCAAAAAAGGAACAGAGGCAAACATTTTCCTATGTCAAATTAACTTTACAGCCAGCCATGATAGCTAAGGCTAGAATCACAAGTTCTAGACTAATCTGGGCTATGTCTTATAAAAAAGGCTAGTCAGTAGTACTGCATGTAATGGAGGCAAGAGGATTGCAGTTTTAGGCCATCCTATGCAAAAATGAGCCCTAGACCCTATCTGTTAAACAAAAAGCAAAAGAACAGAGGTGGTTGGGGGATGGGGTAGCCTATGGTGCCTAGTATAGAGTGGTTACTAGAAATTGCAAGGCCCTGAGTTTAATCCCCAGAACTGGAGGGAGAAAAGTAATTTTTTTAATTTTTCCCCTCATGTCTGCCTGAATTGAATTTATTCTAGGTTTCCATTAACTTTGGCCCCTGCTTCAAGTATCCTCCAAAGGACCTCTCTTACCACCCTGTGAGTAACATTAAACTGTGCACCAGCATCTTCAGCATGTTCCTTGCTCTGAGGCTTTTTTAATCACCCATTTTCCTATTTTCTTTTCTTCCTGCAGATGAGTGACATGGGCTGGGGCGCTGTGGTAGAACACACGCTGGCTGATGTCTTATATCATGTAGAGACAGAAGTGGATGGGAGGCGCAGCCCCCCCTGGGAACCTTGACTCATCCCTCTTGGTATCCACATGGACTGAGAAGCAAGACAGGTTTTTGTTTTTCAATTGAAAACTCTTCTCCCAAAGATACTGAAAAAGCTGCCTACTTTCAGCAGGTTAAAAAATAGGACTGAGGGAGACCCCCTGCCCTTCAGCAATTCCCTCCCCAATTCCAATGATGGCTCTTACTTTGTGTGCCATTAAACCATCAGCTGCTGACCCCTAGGGTCCCATGAACTCCCTGTGAAACTGGTGCTGTACCACATCCCTGTCAGGTGGGACTTGTTACCCTGATGTGTTTTCTAAGGAGTGAATTGTCTTGTCCAAACAGCTAACTAACTAAAAGATATTTCCTTGTGTGGCCATTGACTCCATCCCACCTGATTGCCATGTAGGTGGTGAGCCTATTTCTGAGAATAGCTGAAATCAGTGGCTGTGCATTCCAAATCCATCAATTAAAAGCTGTTTCTTTTTGGTGAAGGGTTTGGGAATCTCTGAAACTACGAGTCTTTAGAACTATAATTTTGAAAAGATTTTGCCTGCAACTTTAACAACTAGAATTCTTCCCAAATAAAACTTGTTTTCAAGTTTATGTGGCACTGGCTTCCCTTTAGGTTGAGTTCCTCTTAGCAACAAAGCCAGAGGTGTGAGCAGCACTGTTCAGAAGAAATAGATTTCTGCCTATCTCATCTATAGCTCTCATTCTTATTGGCCAAATCAAGCATCCTCTACATGCTGTGAAAATTGGAATCTTAAGCTGGTAGAATCTTAATTTAAAAGAGTGTGTTGGAGTTGAGTATCCATGACTCACATCTGTAATCCTAGCTCCTCACAAAACTGAAATCTGAGGATCTCCATTTGAAGCGGATTGCAGGCAGACAAATCTCCGGCTTTTTTTTTTTTTTGGCTGTGGGGCTTGAACTCAGGTTCTGGGCATTGTTCATGAGCTCTTTTGCTCAAGGATAGTGCTCTACCACTTTGCGCCATAATGACACTTCTAGATCTGAGGCTTTTATCTCCTATTAGCCAACAAAAGGCTAGAGACCTTGAATTCACCACCAGTACCAGTACCAGCACACATACACATAAACACACACACGCACACATACACATAAACACACACACGCACACATACACATAAACACACACACACACACACACACAAAGGTGAATTGTCTTCCTCGTGTTGATCTGCAGACTATTTCCCTTTCTAGCTTATTATCTTCCTGTGATACTAGCTGGTGATTAAAGTGCAATTTTTTCAGGGCTGGAAGCATGACCTATGTGTCAGAATAGTTGGCCCTGAGTTCTAACTCCAGTACTACCAAAAATATACCAGAACCCTAAACTAGAAGGAAAAATGAAATGAGATTTCCTTAGGGATGTTTTTATAGCTTTCCCATCTTTCTTTGAATATGTGTATGCACACAAATGCGTGTGTGCATACATGTGCCCATATTGGGACTTGAACTTGGGGCTAGTCTAGTGCTGTACAACTTGAGCTCTTCTTCCAGCTTTTTTTTTTTTTTTTTATTGTGAAAATACTGTACAGAGGGGTTACAATTACATGGGCAAGATAATGAGTACATTTCTTATCAAGCATTGTAGCCTCCTACTTTGTTTCCCCTTCCCATCCTCCCCCTGCCCCCCACCCAATCCTCCCTGCTCCTGTTCTCTCCCCCCCCCAGAACCAAAGTCTCTTCCAGCTTTTTGGTGGTTAATGGAAGACAAGAATCTTACCAACTTTCCTGCCCAGGCTGGCTTCAAACCAAGATCCTCAAATCTCAACCCCCTGAGTAGCTAGGATTACAGGTGTGGGCCACAGGCACCCAACCCTGTTTTAATTCTTCAGTCTAGTGGCAAATGCAGCTCTCCAGGATTGCCCAAATAATCTTCATGTAACTTCCAGCTAAGTTACACCAAGATCTAGGTGATAGATTGCCACAGAATCACCATTTATCATGCCTATTGCTCTTCTGAATATGTTATTTACCTTTCCCTGTATAAGAAATTGCCAAGGGCTGGGAATGTGGCTTAGTGGTAGAGTGCTTGCATAGCATGCATGAAGCCCTGGGTTTGATTCCTCAGTACCACGTAAACAGGAGAAAAAGAAAAGGCGGAAGTGGTGCTGTGGCTCAAGTGGTAGAGCGCTAGCCTTTAGCAAAAATCAAGCTCATGGACACCCAGACCTTGAGTTCAAGCCCCAGGACTGGCAAAAAAAAGAAAGAAAGAAAGAACTCTCCCAGATTGCAAGTGAATATTATCCTCACACAACAGAACTGACTAATGTATTTGTCTCATAGTGAATCACCCAGGATCCTTGTTTTTGTCCATTCTGTAGGCTAACAGAAATCCTAATACAAATGCAGATTCATTGTGGAATGAGATATAAGATATTGGATTCTGGGGCTGGGAAGGTGGCTCAGTGGTAGAGTGCTTGCCTTGTATGCATGAGGCCCTGGGTTCGATTCCTCAGCACCACATAAGCAAAAAGATAAAAGCCGGAAGTGGCGCTGTGGCTCAAGTGGTAGAGCGCTAGCCTTGAGCTGAAGAGCTGAGGGACAGCTCCCAGGCCCAGAGTTCAGGCTCCATGACTGGACCCCCCCCCCCAAAAAAAAAAGATATTATATTCTACATACTTAATTTTTTTTTTCGGTCATGCAGCCTGAACTCTGGGCCTGGGCACTGTCCCTGAACTCTTCATCTCAAGGCTAGCGCTCTACCACTTGAACCACTGCGCCACATCTGGCTTTTCTCTCTCTCTCTCCTCTCTCCTCTTTCCTCTCTCCTCTCTGTCTCCTCTCTCTCCTCTCTCTCTCTCCCTCTCTGTCTCCCTCTCTGTCTCTGTCTGTCTGTCTGTCTGTCTGTCTGTCTGTCTGTCTGTCTCTCTGTCTCTCTCTCTCTCTCTCTCTCTCTCTCTCTCTCTCTCTCGACAGTGCCCCAGTCCTGAAGAAGAGATCACAGAACGTAATTTTCTTGTTAATATTCCACATTGCAGAAGTGATAGAAAATGTGGATGTACTAATTAGGTTGTTTTGTAGGGCTTGGAGAATACCTACCTACTCACCATCTTAACTCATTAAATAATGTAATCAGGTTATCAGTGACAACTTGTTTATTCAGCTACAAAATAAAACAAGTAGGAAAATATCTCCCCAGACCCACAAAGACACAGTTACATAGTTTGAAAGACCAGATTTTAATCCAGCTTAAAATGATGTTTGTTGAAAATCGTGTCAGTTTTTCCTCTTAAAATCTGACAACATAAATTTTCCTTCAAAAAAAAAAAAAAATTTCCTTCAAATATTTAAGGATCTTTAATCAAGTGATTTAGCCAGTAGTGCTTATGAATTGTTGTAGATGCTTTATACAGCTATCTTCCCTCTCAATCTCCCGGGTTAACAATAATTTCAAATGCCAAAAACAGACTTCAGAAACAGTTAGAATAAATTAGAATAAATATAAAAGTTGATAAATTTTAATAAATACCAGTGTTCCCGCTACTGCTATTTTGCTCATAAATAAGCTAGAGCTCTATTATCAAAGGATGCCAATTATTCTATACTGCCAAAAATAGAATGAAAGGCTTCAGATAGCAATACCTACATTTAGCAAAGAAACCCTTTTCCAATTTATGGGTTTTTTTTAACTTTCTAGATACTAGAAAAGGAAATGTGCCCTGACCTTGTTGCCCCTTCTTCCCAGGACTTCTCTCAAAATGGCAGAATTTTAACTTTTTCAAGCAGAGATGTTGGCAGCTCCCCGCCAGTAGAAAGTTGTATAATTCTCTTACCAATTGAGATAGATAACAATAATGTTAACTTTATCTTAATAATTATTGTTCAGACTCATGTCCAGTGCTATCATTTTAATTAATTAAAAGTCCTAAATTATCATCTTACAGTGCCATGAATCACCTATCAGTTATGGAATTCCTTAAGAATTGATTTAGGTTTGTGCTTAGCAAAGTTGTTCAATTTTCTAGTAGCTTTTTTTTGGTTAACAGTTTCTAAATAAAGGACATAGGTCTCCAAAAGTTCTTCCTTTTAATAAGATAGGAGATTTAGTTAAACCATTAGATTAATTTAACAGAACTTCTCCAATACAAAATTGTAACCTATTAAAATGGATTTTTTTCCTTTTAGGAGTAGGACTTTAAACAAGTACAGACTGAAGTCTTCATGGTATTTGTGATTCTTTATTCTGACTGGTGCTGATAGAATAAATAAACTCAGTTTGTCTTATATTTATCTGTAGAGAATACACTATGAAATATCTTCTGTTGGGAGTTGTTTGTGTGGTATAGCCCTGGACCACCTTAGCAGAGGGGCAGAAGGTTGCTGGCACCCTGGTATAACCCTCCTAATCCACAAACTGCCTATGGGGAATGTGGTTCTTGAGCCCATAAGGTAATGGTTTCTAGTCCTGCATATCCTTCCCTCCCGTATGAGCCATTCAGATTTTTTAAATGTTTTTAGGTGGATATGTAAGGGCTCAGAAGAAAGTTAATAAGTTCCTTGGGAATTTTTTGTTTGTTTGGCTGGTTGGTTGTTGTTTTGTCTGTTGTGGGGCTTGAACTCTGGGCTTGGGTGCTGTCCCTCAGCTCTTCAGCTTAAGGTGAGCACTCTACCGCTTGAGCCACAGCACCACTTCTGGTTTTCTGGTGGTTAATTAGAGATAAGAGTCTCACGGACTTTTCTGCCCAGATTGGCTTTGAACTGTGATCCTCAGATCTCAGCCTCCTGAGTAGCTAAGATTACAGGTGTGAGCCACATGCACCCGGCCCCTTGGGAGTTTTAATTTTCATTTCACAGCTGACCAGTGAGTGAAGTTGTAAATCTTGCTCTAAGAGCATCTCCATTTTCTTGGTGCTAAAACTTTGATCAGAGTCCTAATGTCTTACGCTTACACTCTGCCACCCTTCCATTGTTGCTAGATGGTGATCCTCAACAGATTCACAGGCTTCTCACAGGGAGTTCCTGGTGCTTAGGCAGGCCAGTCAGAAGGGTAGTACAGCCCTAACACCGGGCCTCAGCAGCAGGTCTGGACTCCAGGTGCTTGCGCAGGTGCTTGGCAAACTCCATCTGGGTCTGTGATAAGACCTGATTGATGATAGTCTTTGGCAGCCACCCCTAGAGTAGAAGATAAGAGCATTTTGCCATTTTGTAGGTACTGTTCTACACCTTTGCAGCCAGTCACAAACATTTATAGGTGCAACCTTGGAGTTGTCACACCACAGTCACAGACAGTACCGCTTTGCTGTTCTGCTTCTGTGATAGTGTCAAAAGCATAGAATTTGCTGTCAAGATAGAATCCAGCCCTGTTTTCCAAGCTAGAGGACTCTGAGGAACTTACATCACCTTTCTCACACTTAAGAGTCCTGGGCTTAACATTGCCTTCTTCTAAATCATAGTTGTAGACTAAAATAACTGCTTTTTGTTTTTTGTGTTTTTTTTTTCTTTTTCTTTTGGAGACTGGGTCTCCGACTGTGGCTCAAGTTTGCTCAGCCTGTGTACCCAGGCCGCTCTTACTCTTGCTTCTCCTGTCTGAGTATTACAGAACCAGCAATAGCTCCTTGACTTTTTAGAACTG